CTTTTGTTTGAACAGTGCTCCAGATGAGTACAAGAGCAAATTTATGCTTTCTCTTGTATTTGTGAATGATGATCTTTAATACAGTGTTCTTCAACAAAGAACGTAGTAATTCTGTTTATAATTTCTTGTTATATTAGAGTAGCCTGAACACTCTGCTTTTGATTACTAATTTTCAAGTCCTGAAGCTCTGGTGTGGACTTACTGAGCTGCTTTTAAATGCTGTTTGACTTTCAACTTTCCTGTCTTTGAATTATTGTTGCATTGAAGATTTGATGGGCTAAAACTTCACTGTGCTGTGTATCAAGGAACACAGAGGTTAGGGAGAAAGCGACTATTACTTGAAATAGAAAAAACAATTTAATTCATTCCAAGGAATGATAACATTTTGTGTGTATAATAAAAATGCACCTTTTCTTGGCTTTGCTGTAAGAAAGAGTAGGAATGAATTTTCCTTTAATGTAAAAGAACAGTGAGCAGTTGGTTGTTGCCTAGTGTATTAAAGAGGAATATTGCTTGCATTTTGGGGAGATTCTGTATTTCCTTACTGATGATTAGTTAAGGAGAATGTTCTTTCTCTCATTGGCCTTAATTGTATTTTGCACTGATTTTGAGCAATTGACCTAGTGCCTAGGAAGAATTCCAGTTGTATTTGATGGTATTTAATAACAAAGTAGAAGATAGAAGTAATGATAAACTGTCAGAATTCTTCTGAACTTTCAGATTCTGTTGTCTTTTCTAGATTCTCAGGAAATGGAGAGACCTCAGAGACACAGATTCAACTTTTCCTTAGTATGCACATCATTATCATCACTGTGTTAGTTTGAGCTGAGCAAGTCTTCTCCCTAGAAACCTCAAAATATATACTGAACCTTACAGTTTAGTGCTTTATTTCTGCAGTTGAGCACATTTTTGTTGCCAAGTGAAGGCTTAAAATGAAGTTACACTAATGTGCACGTTTGCTACGAATCCATATACTTTTTCTAACCTCTTTACACTGCCTGAAAGAATGATGAGCAGTGCTGCCACTACCTGGCTGAGGATTTCTCTATTGCAGGTGTAGTTGAACACTACTGTAATGCTGCCTCTGGCTTTTCACCTGTCCTGCTGCAGGAGAAAAGGACAGGTGTCCTTTTGCTGCTTCTAGCCTGTGTGTTCTGGAATTCATAGAGTTCCCTGAACCCTGCAAGTGTAGCAGCACTAGTTGTGAGAAATGTGCTGGTTTATTTCACCTTTTTCAATAAGGCTTACCTAAGTGTGATGAGATATAAATGTAGATACAAATAATAAACCAAACTGTGAACAGAGGAAATAATGAACTGTCCAGCTGCCTTTGGATTTACGTTATATCCACGTGCCTTCGCTATGCCAGTCCCAGAATGCCTCCCCTCATGTCTTTCCCCACACATGGGGATATACCTCATACTGCTCTTATAATACCCTTCCCTCCCCTGCCCTCTTAACAGCTTTTTGGACAAGTCAGTGTTTGTTGTGTCTGATTCTGAACTGCCCTTGCACGAACTGGGCAGCCTGGAGCACAAACAGGGCGGGTGATGAGCTCGGGGTGCAGCTTTACCTGGGGCAGAAGAGGGAAGGAAAAGGGGAGGGCTTCTCTGTCCAGCAGTCCATTAAGAGAACTCTAGCATGTAACATGACTTGTGCCTTCTCTTCCAGCTTTGGCTGAAATTTAGTAATGTGATCAAAGCTATTCATAGGACTGTTTTAGAAGACTCATTTCCTTAGAAAACAAAGCTCAAGAGTACCTAGTTTGAAAGAAAATCGAGTACCTCAGTCAATCCTTTTTTTCTTTTTTTCAGTCGTTTATTAAGTGTTTCATATTACATGTTACACTCTTTTAAATGCTAATATTAATGATCTTGGAGAGGATGTGGAGGTACTTTTTAAGTGAGTCTTTGTGCAGCTCGAGCAAAATTAGGCTTGATTTTCAATTTGCTCTTCCAGAGCAGCTCTTGGTATTTTTAGTTCACACCTGTAAGGCTTAAGAATGACCTTGGAATCAAGTCACTTCCAATGTTAGTAAGAAGCTAATTTCTTTTCTTTATTTCCCTTTCTACAGACAGAAGATACAAGCTGGAAACTAATCAAGTTTTTCACCCAATAGGACAGAAAGCAGAGACAACTGAAAGTGACACCAAAGAAAATCAAGTGGAAAATAAGGCCTATTTTGTTACTCTGAAGTTGAATATTTGGCTCTGGAAAGTACCTAATGAGCCATCAAGTCCTATATCCTGGTGCCACTGGCAGTCACTTCATATAGTTCTTTTCATAAATTTATGTTGCCTCATCTTAGGTATTTTGCCCTAGATAGCCTTATTGGAAAGCTTGTTAGAAATTCTCTATTTTGGGATTACAGAACCTTCTGATTTCTACTCTCTCTACTTTCACACATAGCCTTTAGTCACCTCATCTTGAACCAACATAAACGGGTTCTCTATTTCCCATGGTCACTGCAGTATTACTTCTGTGTATCTGATCTCATTTGATTTCATTTTTCTTGAGCACAGGTGAATAGAATTGTAAGGAGTACTCTGGATGGGATCCTGTCAGGTCCTATTAATACTCACCTACATTCAAAGGCAATGCCTTTCGTAATGCTTCTGGGTGTTGTGTTTGTCTTTTTCATGTTTTGTGTTACTTGGTTACCTTCTTGAGAATAAATATACTATTTAATTCCATTATACTTCTGTTATTCCAGTAATATTTATTGGTTTCTTCCTCTGTGATACAGTGTTTCTTTTATACTGAAAAGTGCTTCCAACTTTGGATGTTGATATTAGAGAAACCATGAAGGACTATCCTTTTAGTGAGAGTTTTTCTGACTTAGGTTCAACCTCAAATCTCATCTTAAATGTTGGACTGATGGTCTAAATTGCCAGCTTATGTAATCAAATCTTTTGGGTTTTTTAGTCTCCCACTACCATACCTGGAATATCTTTAATATGTATCCTTTTCTTACTGCTGCTGCTTTTTTTTTTCCAAGTAGGTGAATGACCAAGCAAAATTTCTATTTTTACTTTTCAATTTCTATTCCTTTTGAGAAGTCTAAGTAGTTTTATCTTTTGATG